GAGGAAACATCACATTAATCCAAACTGAAGGATAGTCTACAATATAAATGACCTGGATTCTGAAAAAATGTTAATCTGAAAGAACCAACATAAAGAAAGATTGCAACTATCATTATGGATTACAGAGGCTAATGAGACAGGAAAGTTAAACACAGCATGCAATCTGGATTGGATCCTGGACCAGATTAATCAAATGCTATAAATTATACTACTGGAACAATTGGCAAAATTTTAATGAGAACTGTAGATTAAATGAATGGTATTATATTATTATTCTGAAGTATTTAAGAGTAAGCGAACATGACTTCTACAACACTGAAATGATTCATTATAATTATAATTATGTATGCAAGAACATGTGTAGGTGCACATATACAAATATAGAAGAGACAACAGAAATGATAAACAATGTAGCAAAATGTTAACAGTTGATGGATGTGGGTGAAGTATATTTAGGAGTTCCTTGTACTACTTTTGTGATTTTTAAAGAAAAATGTTCTGTGACTCACACTGAATGACAAAGTAGCACATAGAAAAACTGGTATAATCACTAGAAAATACTTCATTTCATGAGTATGATGATCTCTTGAGGTTTGTTCCTATGTTTACAGATTAAACTATTTTATTCTATTTGGTAAATAATTAAAAAAAATTTTTTTAAAGATTTTATTTATTTGATAAAGATCACAAGTAGAGAGAGAGGCAGGCAGAGAGAGAGAGAGTGAAGCAGGCTCCCTGCTGAGCAGAGAACCCGAACCGGGACTCGATCCCAGGACCCTGAGATCATGACCTGAGCCGAAGGCATCGGCTTAACCCCCTGAGCCACCCAGGCGCCCCTCTATTTGGTAAATAATTTAACACAATTAAATATCACCTATTAACATAAAATACTGGTTAGTACCTTCTACTAAAAGTAGAATTTTTAAAAGCATGTGGGAGGTGATCAAGGGCTACTGAGGCATAAAGCATTGCTTATAGCAGTTGCTTCCTTTAAATGGTATTCACACATTGGAGAAAGCATCTTAAACCTTATAATAAATCACATTTGGAATGGTAGTCAAGACTGTAGCAGGCTGTAGCGAAGTAACACAAATTACTTTCCCAGGAATAATAAGAAAAAAACCCAGTTTATTCTAAGGGAAAAATAGATGTGTACATTAGAATTAGTTGGATATTTTAGAGGAGTAGTTCTTTCTTTCACTAAACTTCCTTGTTAAATCGAAGTTCCTTATTCTGTCTTAGTCAAGGGCATTGAACAATTCTGCCGAGATGCTAGCAATGCTGCCAATACACACGGTTCCCTGAATGACGGGTTTCTCAGCCTCGGCACTATCGACATTTTGGGCCAGACAGTTCTTTGCTGTGAGTCCTGTGCATTGTAGCGTGTTGAGCAGCAACCTTAACCTTAACCCAACCTATTACATGCCAATAGCAGTCCTGCCCAGTGTGACAATCCAGAATGCCTTCAGATACTGCCAAATGTCCCCTGGGGGATAAAATACCCCTCCCCCCAGTTAAAAATTGTTTGGTCTAAGGTGCTATAATTTAAGTAAGATTTTCCTACACTTTGAAAGTTACTTTTGAATGATGACTACAATGTTTAGAAAATAAAATGAACTATTACAATGTCTCCCTAGTATCTATTGGATAAAATCCAAAATGTTTGGCTTTCAGCATTATATCTAAACTCTTCTATCCTCTTATATAAAAAGGCTGCTAGGGGCGCCTGGATGGCTCAGTGGGTTAAAGCTTCTGCCTTCAGCTCGGGTCATGATCCCAGGGTCCTGGGGTCAAGCCCCACAATGGGCTCTCTGCTGAGCAGGGAGCCTGCTTCCTCCTCTCTCTCTGCCTGCCTCTCTGCCTACTTGTGATCTCTCTGTCAAATAAATAAATAAAATCTTAAAAAAAAAAAAAAAAAGGCTGCTCTAGTTAGCGTATTCTTGACTTCTGAAACACATATGCATCCCTGCACATGATTTTCTCTCTGCTGCCATATATCCACATCTTTGAGATGTCACAGTTAAAGCAGAACACTCCTTCTTACTGTGTGACTGGCCATAGCCAAATAGGTCCAGTGTACATAACTGATAAAGATGGATCCAACCTAGAGGCTAGGCATGGTTAATTAGATTTTTCTCCTCCGGGGTGGGCATGTTTGCATGGTTATCTTTGGTAATAAAAAAAAGGAAGCAGAGCAAGTCAGCTTACACTTAGGAAAAATAGACATGAAGCCCACAAGAGGGCAGGTGGGCCAGCTCTGGGCATACCTTCCATTAAGTCTACTAAAGAGTTACTTCAAATTTCTCCTTCCTCTGAACTTCCTTACTTAGTGGGAAGATTACCAGCAAGTCACTTTCTCCCTCAAGACCTCAGTTTATTCATTTGAAAAATGAGAAAGCAGGAAAGAAAACAGCTAAGTATTCTTTACCTCAAATATCTATTACATTAATTATTGGTACTGTCACCTGACATTGTTCTATATTGTAATTTAATAGCCAAATAACTACTTGACTTTTCATGAACACATCTTCCCAATTAATGCAGAAGTCCCCAGAGGGCAGGACCAGAATACTATATTTACTTCCTTAGGAGAAGTGTTGACCAACTGCAGACACTGAATCCCTGGGAATCACTGTGTTATGACAAGAGGGATGAGTGCTGTTTGTACTTTGACTCGATAAATACATCCCTTACTGCCTGCCTTCTTAAACCCCAGGCCTGATTCAGTATCTCATTTCTCATTCTTATGTTCAAAAGGCTAAATCATATAGGTATCCAAAAATCCTGATGAAGTAGGCAAAGTGTTTCATAAGAACTATTGATAAATGAGAAAGAAATGTCTGATTCAAACATGCAGTCTTACTACTCCTGATGTAATGAACGGAGGGCTCTTAATAAAATAATGTAGTAGTTAAATTTTTTAAAGATTGATTGACTGATTTGAAAGACACAGAGAGAGAGAGGGAGAGAGTACGTACTGCGTGTGAGCAAGGGGAGGGGCAGAGAGAGAGGGAAAGGGGAAGCAGACTTCCAGCTGAGCATGGATCCCAACATGGAGCTTGATTTGATCTTACAACCCTGAGATCATGATCTGAGCTGAATCCAAGAGTTGGATGTTCAATCGACTGAGCTACCCAGGGAACCCTTGACAGTTAATTTTACCTGTCAACTTGACTGCACCACCAGATTTTCAGACCTTTGATCAAACATTATTCCAGGTGTGTCCATCTGGCTGTTTCTGGGTAAGATTAACATTTGAAGTGGTAGACTGAGGGAAGAAGACTGCCCTCCCCAAGGTGGATGGGGCCTCCTCCAATCAGTTGGAAGACTGAATAGAACAAAAGTGGTGAGAAATCCTCTCACCTGATGGCCTTCAGAAGCAACACTGGTCTTTCCTGACTCTGAACTCGAACTGAAACACTGGCTCTTCTTAGGTCTCCAGTCTGCCTGCTTTCTAGCTGGAATTTATACCATTGGCACTCCTAGTTTTAAGGTCTTCAGACTCAGATTGGAACTACACCATTGACCTTCCTGGGTCTCCAGCTTGCTGAATACAGTTCCTGGGACTTCTCAATTCCTTATAATAAATCTCTTTATATGTACATATTTGTACGTATATATCCTATTTGTTCTGTTTCCCGGAAAAACCCGAATACAAATGGCTATGGAGCTAAATCCCACACAAGGGACTCATTTTCCCTTTGAATCCCATTATCAAAAGTTTCTAATAGAGACCAGAGAATTTCTATTCATTAGTTTGATAAATAATTTAACAATTTCAGGTTTGATAAAGCAAAAAAGCTAAACTGAACTAAATGCTATAATTAGAAGTCTTCAGGCAACCATATTCAAGTTTCCTTCCTTGATTTACTGATTTTGAACAATAAAAATTCCATATATCAGGATGCCATGGGTCAGGTGATATTATAATTAATAAGGATAATAAAACTTTGGACAGATGAACTGTTTTGCTTGTACTTATCATTCTTTTGTTTGTATTTGGGTTTGTTCTGCAGAGAGGTTAAGCTAAGAATTTTAAGAGTTGAAAAAATTATTCCAATTTTTACCCATAAAATAGAAATTCTGAAAAAGGAATATAATTAATCATTTCAGGAAAATTAATGTAGATGAATAGAAAAAGCTAGGTCCTTTTTACTTCACTTACATTTACTTTAGAATAACTACCCTCCCTTAAAATTAAAAAAAAAAATGCTCTGGTAAATAGTATACTTCTCATATAAAGTACAATTTTCTTTTCAAAACTTCCATTTGCATACTGCTTTTCAGCAATGTGCTACAAAACAAGTATACCTATACAAGATTAATTACCTTCTATAAAGGTTTACTGTTATGGTGGAAATGAAATAACTTCAATAGTTTATCAGTGGACATACTTTAGTGTATGAATGAATTCACACTTGAAAGTATTAATGTTTTAAATGCAATATCCTATTTTGAATTCTTAAAGCTCAGATTGCATTCTTTCTTAAAAAGATTTAATTTATTTATTTGAGAGGGAGAAAGAGCATGAGCAGGGGGAGGAGCAGAGGGAGAGGGACAAACAGACTCCCTGCTGAGTGGGAAGTCCGACGAAGGGCTAGCTCTCAGGACCCTAAGACCGTGACCTGAGCCAAAGTCAGATGCTTAACCTACTGAGCCACTTAGGCACACCTCAGACTGGATTTAACACATCTTTGTACAATCATTTTGAAAAGGAGTCAGGGAAGTCAACTGGTTTTAGCAAGTAACTGTTAATGCTGCTGCTGATAGGTATTCTTAACATGTAAGCAAAAATAATACAAGTTATGACCCATTACATAATGAAACTACATATAAATTTTCTTTTTGTACTAGATGATTACATGGGTAAGATTGTGAGGATACATAAAATTTTCCCAGAAATATTTTTGCCTACAGATTTTCATATATGAAGATGGATACACTATGAATGAAAAGCAGCTTTATTTTGGAACATTTCTAGCTGGCATCAAGCTACTGACCTGTTTGATATTCTTGGAGATAGGACCTGGAATAATACACTCGTCACTGTCAGATGCAGATCTCTCTTCCTCATCTGTTAAGAAATAAGATTTTAGTGGCCCAAGTCTGTTAAACCGATTATATTTATACCTTGAGAAATGGAGCAATTTGTTATAAGCATTTGTTATAAGGATAACCTTAAAAGGACAATATGATAATCATGTCTAGACCTTTCTTAGCAGCAAAGATATTTACATTATAATTTAGAAAAGATAAAAAAAATGACTGAAAATTCCAAGTTTAGTTTTAGTAGAAACAAAGATAATAAAAATATAGCTTGCTCTGAAATTCAAAAATAGTCTTTTTAAAGAGGAGGACAGGGTAATAGGTATTTTCTAACAGCCTAATCAATTATGCTGTGCAAATCAAGTTATTCTTACTATTTAGAAACATTTAAAAATTTTTGTAGTTTTATTGTGGCAAAATTGCCATATCATAAACTGCACATATTTAAAGAGCAAAATTTGATATTTTGACATATGTATAATTCTGTGAAATCATCACCACAATTAAGAATGTGAACCCATCCATCACCCCACAAGTTTCCTTATGCCCCCTGTAATCTACTCTTTCTCTGTATCTCCCTGTTCCCATTTACCTTTCCCTAGGCATCACCTAAATGCTTTGTCACTGTAGTTGCCTCTTTTAGATATTTATATAAATTAAATCTTGTCAAGAGTTGTCTTGTCTGAGTTCTTAGTTTTAATTTTTTAAAAGTTAATTTCTCTAGAATAATCCAGATGATAGTATAAAACCCAAAGAGAACATAAAGCCACTTAAAACATAAACTGGGACCGTGGTCAGCAGCAAGACTTGAATTCCACTGTGGCATGGCAGGTTGAGGTAAGAAGGTGTGCGACAATTCTGCCAGCCCATAGCTGACTACACTGAACCGTGTCCCGTCACTTTGGTCAAGAAACAGGTATCACAAAGTAGATCCCCTACTATGTGGAGATGTCCTAGGAGGCATGCTCTAACAGATTAAAGAAAGCACAGAATTAAGTAAATAATGGTAATTTCAGAAAGGAAAAAAAAAAATCACCTTCTGGTTCCAATTCCTCAGTTATTTCTGTTTCATCTTCAGAAGAAGTCCAGCTTCGATCTGCTAGCTGACCCTCAGACAGGAAAGACACATCATCTTTTCCTTGTTGTATTTTCTCTTTTACCTTAGCTCCACTGCTTTCTTGAGAAACCTGAAGACATGCAAGCATACTGATAACACGGGTGCTTTGATCACATGTGTTGCACTTGCTGAAGCACCTGACTCAGAAAGCCTGTAAGCCCGAGACTTAAATATACGAATAGGTACTATATGTAAGTGATTCATTAGAAAAACCGTCACTAACATTGCACAGACAAATGATATTAGGCACATAAATGAAAATATTATTATGAGCCAAGAATGAAAAATACGTTAATATAAAAATGAATTTTATATTATTACTCTAATTTACATATCTATTTATTAGTTGCTAATATCAGCATAATTGCAACACTGGTCATAGTTTTGCTCTTTCGGTTCCCAGGAAGCTCTACATAAAAATAGGATTGATGTTATGAGTTCTTGATCCATTCATTTATTTATTTATTTATTTATTAAAAGATTTTATTTATTTATTTGACAGACAGAGATCACAAGTAGGCAGAGAAGCAGGCAGAGAGAGAGAGGGGGAAGCAGGCTCCCTGCCGAGCAGAGAGCCCGTTGTGGGGCTCGACCCCAGGACCCTGAGATCAGGACCTGAGCCGAGGCAGAGGCTACCACTGAGCCACCCAGGTGCCCCTTTGATCCATTTTAGTACAAAGTCTTTTAAGAATGAAATCAAACCTTTCAAAATAATTTTAATACAAATACATACCTCAGGACCATGTGAAAAAGTTGGTATGTCAGTTTCTATTTCTGGCGTATGCTCAACTTCTGATGAAACTTCCTTCACATCTTCAGGAGGAGTAGTTATCTCCTTTTATTGATGTAAAAACATGCATATATGTTATTTTGTATTTACTACTAAATTCCATATATATAAGGGAGTAAATACAGTAGTTACCCATATGACCCTAAATTTAGTTAGTGTATTTCAGTAAAATGGCTGATAGTCATCAGGGAATTTATATATGTAATTAAAGAATTGCAAACATCGTTCATTGAAGCATTGTTTATAATTGCAAAAAAAGTGAAAACAATGCAAATATCCAACAGAATAGGATTAAATGAAATACGGTATATCCAAATACTTGAGTTCTTTGCAACCATGAAAAAAATGATAACGTAGATCTGTACTTATGCACACTGAAGAGAGTATCCAATACACTATTGAATAAAAAATGCTAGTTACAGAAAAATACCTATAGTTGTATACTGTTTCGTTAACAAACATGCAAGCAAACAACATGTATGTTCCCATGGGAATAAGTATGGAAGGAAATTCACTAAAATTCTATCACTGATATATAGATTTGGGGAAATTTAATTTCATTTTTTTAAAAGATTTTATTTATTTATTTGACAGAGAGAGATCACAAGTAGGTAGAGAGACAGGCAGAGAGAGAGAGAGAGGAGGAAGCAGGCTCCCTTCCAAGCAGAGAGCCCAATGTGGGGCTCGATTCCAGGACCCTGGGATCATGACCTGAGCTGAAGGCAGAGGCTTAATCCGCTGAGCCACCCAGGTGCCCTAATTTCATTTTTTTAAAAAATTTTATTTATTTATTTGACAGAGAGAGAGAGAGAGATCACAAGTAGGCAGAGAGGCAGGCAGAGAGAGGAGGAAGCAGGTTCACTGCTGAGCAGAGAGCCCGATGCGGGGCTCGATCCCAGGACCCTGAGATCACGACCTGAGCTGAAGGCAGAGGCTTAACCCACTGAGCCACCCAGGTGCCCCCCTAATTTCATTTTTAATTTCTTTTTTGCTTATTTGTATTTTCTAATATTTCTATGATGATTATACATTACTCATGTAATTAAAAAACTGTACATGTGAGGATATATACTTTCTATGATCAACATTATTTTTTAATTCTATCAAATATCAATTTATAGCCAACTATTTTCCAGGATTCATAAACTGATGTTTATTTTTAAAATATTAGCTTATCATTTTTGCTACTTTATTTATTTATTGAATATTTTATTTATTTATTTATTTGAGAGACAGAGAATGAGAGAGAGAGCATGAGAGGGGAGAGGTCAGAAGGAGAAGCAGACTCCCTACCGAGCAGGGAGCCCAATGTGCAGCTTGATTCCAGGACTCCGGGATCATGACCTGAGCCAAAGGCAGTTGCTTAACCAACTGAGCCACCCAGGTGCTCCCATTTTTGCTACTTTAAAAGTAAATATGTCCAATAGAGAAATGGGAATGACAAACCAAAAACAAAAGAAATTAATACAAATCCAAATTTTCATTACCCAATGATAATATCCATTAGTAATAGATTTCTTTACAATTTTTCACCTTTTTCTTTATAATTAATTTTTTAGTTCTTATTTTTTTAAAGATTTTATTTATTTATTATTCGCTGCAGAGCAGAGAGCCCAATGTGGGGCTCGATCCCAGGACCCTGAGATCATGACCTGAGACGAAGGCAGAGGCTTAACCCAGTGAGCAACCCAGGCGTCCCTATAATTTATTAAAAAAGAAAAAAGATTTATTTATTTATTTGACAGACAGAGATCACAAGTAGGCAGAGAGGCAGGCAGAGAGAGAGGAGGAAGCAGGCTCCCCGCTGAGCAGAGCGCTCAATGCAGGGCTCGATCCCAGGACCCTGGGATCATGACCCAAGCTGAAGGCAGAAGCTTCAGCCCACTGAGCCACCCAGGTGCCCCTATAATTAATTTTTTAAAAGAATTCTTTCTTTCAAGTTGATTTTAAAGATTTATTTATTTATGTGAGAGGGAGAGAGAGAGGGAGAGAGAGAGAGAGATAGAGAGGAGGGACAGAGGGAGAGGGAGAGAGAGAATCCCAAACAGATTCCTTGCTAAGTGCGATCCCTTGAGATCATAACCTGAGCTGAAATCATGAGTCAAGATATTCAATTGACTGAGACACCCAGGTGCCCCTTTAGGATTCATTTTTAATGCAAATAAAAAACTTTCTTGGTTACATAGTGCTAATTATATTATAAATACAATGTATCTTGTTACATTTAAAAAACCTTAGTATTATGTCATAAAATTTTCTACAGATATAAACTTTCGGGTAAACGTCATTTTTAATACAATCTAATATTAAAATGAATGAATGTATCATAATTTAATGAATGATTTTCCTGGTGTTGGACATTTAACTAATTCACCATTTTCAGTTACTGTGATGACTAACATCGCAATAAACATCTCCATGTATGTCTTTTCTATATTTATGATCATTTATGTAGCAATCCAAGTTACTTATGTTCGAATTCCAGATCTAATATTTTGCCCTTGAGCAAGTTACTTAAGCTCTGCACATATTACTTTCCTGATCTATTTCTTTTTTTTTTTTTTTTAAGATTTTTATTTGAGAGAGAGAGAGAGCAAGTAGGGGAGGGATAGAAAGAGAGGGAGAGAATCTCAAGCAGACTCTGCCCTTTGTGCAAACCTCACAGCAGGCTCCATCTCACAACCCATGAGACCATGACCGGAGGCAAAAATCACGAGTTGGATGCTTACTAAAGTGAGCCACCCAGACACTGCTTACTTTCCTGATCTTTAAATGGGAATAATTCTAGTATGATCATAAGATTGTTCTTAGGATTAAATCGGTTTGTGGACATAAAGCATCTGGTTCAGTGTCTGACATATAATGAGCACTCAATAAGAGTTTGTTATTAAACACGGCCTGAATAATAATTATTGAATTCATTTATTTAGCACATATATACTAAATGCACTGTATATGCCAGGTATTATCTTAAGCTCTGAGAAGAAAAAGTGCTTTTATTTTTTAAAGATTTTATTTGAGAGAAAGAGCATGGCAGAGACAGAGGGAGAGAGGGAGAGAGCACAAGTGGGGTGGAGGGGCAGTGGAAGAGGGGAAACAGCCTCCCCACTGAGCTGGGAGCCCTACATGGGGCTCAATCCCAGAAATGAGATCATGACCTGAGCTGAAGGCAGACACTTAATGGATTAAGCCACCCAGGCACCCGAGAAAAAATATTTTGATCTGGGTGGTGTTTACACAGGTGTGTACATAGGTAAAAATTCATTGAGCTGGCTACTTGAGTTTTGTGTCCTTTAACTATTTAGGAGTTACACCTCAATTACAAAGAAAATGTTTTTTTTTAAAGTCCAAAAGAGATGATGGTGACTTGAGTGGTAACAGTGGAGATGATGTGAATACAGGATATGTTTTGAAAGTATAGCTGACAGGTTTTGTGGATAAACTGGAAGCAGGATGTGAAAAAGAGAATGACAAAGGGAAGCCTTTAAAATGCACTGATTATGCAGCTGGATGAATGGTTAGTCATTTATGGAGAATGGGAAACAATGGAAGAAACATTTTGGAAGAGGGCTGAGAAGTCACATTTGTTTTTTTTTTTAACATGTTAAGTCTAGATTCCTATTACACATCCAGTGCATATGAAATAAGCAGGGAGAAAATAAATCTGGAATTTGACAGTGAGATCAAGACCGAAGATTATAAATATGAGAGTGACCACCTCTAGTTGTTTAAAACTATGAGATTGGCGAAGACCTCTGAATGGAAATATAGAGTGAGATGAGGTGTAGGTCTGCAGTGAAACTGCTGAGGCCCCTCTACATTGAGAGATTTGGTCTAGGACAGGAGAAGAATCACTGGTAAAGCTGGAGAGAAACTGGAAAGGCATGGTGTCCCAGACGCCCAGTGAAGAGGGAGTAAGTATTCCACTGTGTCAAATGTTACTGGGAGATAAAGATGGGGACTGAGGATTGACTACTGGACATGGCAAAGTCAAAGTCATTGCGACCTTAGCAAGAATGGTTTTAATGAGGATGAATTTTGATTAGACTGAATTCAAGAAATGGTGTGAAGAAAGGGCAACAGAATTAAGACTTTCTGAAGAGGTTTCTCCCTGCACTGTCCCCCCTCCCCCACCAAAAATAGAGGCAGAGGATTAGGGCTGTAGCTGGAGTTACAAATGGAGTCAAAGGAGGGTTTAGATCAAAGAGTAAGAAGAGTTAACATTTATACACAGTGCCAAATTGCGAAGCTAACATTTAAAGGAAAAAGTATTTTATTCACTTGTTTCCTTTGAAATACTACGTCTACATCGTTTATTCAAAATACTTGGTATGAGACGAAAAAAATCAGTATTTTCAGTGTTTACTACTTACAGAACTCTGCTGTGGTGTGATATCCACAAAAGACACTTTCTTATCTACAGGTGTTAAACGCTGTCTTGGTTTAGGTGTTGGTGCCTAAGATAAACCAATATGTCAAACTGAGTATGATAAACATATACTTAGATAAGACTTCAGCTATTTTTTCTTTCTTTCTTTCTTTTTTAAATACTATTTCTTAAGTTCTATAGGAAATTCAAAGTCAGTGTTACTCACAACAACTAATGGGCTAATAGAGGATGTTGAAGGTACTCTTTGAACAACTTCTGACTCTTCTTTGCGTATAATATTTCCCAAGTCTTTAGTTGTTATAGATCCACTTGGTGGAAGGTAAGCAAATTTCCATTTCAATATAACATGGATGGTTCCTGCAGGATGCTTTTTATGATCTGTTAACTCAAATATTCCTGTCAAATTACAAAATAATTTTAATTAATGCTAGAGTGAAGTTTTATTACCATAAGGATGAAAGAACAAAGAGAACTACCCACAGCTTTAAAAATAACTTTAGCTTTTACTCGCACCTCAAATGGCTTAGAGAATAAAGACAAAATAATCTATGATAGGTTCATCTCTGAAGCAGACTGCTTTCAGAAATTAAGGCCTCAGTGATGACAATTCTGATTCCAAGGTGAGAAAATTAACTTATAAATATTTTAATTCACTGAAATTAAATTCAGAGATTATTCAGAATTCTTAGCCTTCCTCTAAGACATTATCTGGGTGATAGCTAAGTATCAACCTCCTTTTGCCTTAAATATTCTCACAAAAGACTTGTCTCTATAGAAAAATATATTAAAAGTGCACAATTTCAAATAATTTATATATGTAAGGAAGTATTCATATTACCATGTAATTTTATGAAGATTTTAAATATATTTTACTGGGATTTGTTAAATTACTCCAAATTAATGGTAGCACAACAAAAAAGTGTCCAGAAAATAAACTGTCCAAAACGGTAATAAAAAGTATCACCTAGCTGTAACTGTAATAAAGAGTCACAAATTTTAGTCATTGCACTAAATTTTTTTTAGAAGATTTTATTTATTTGAGAGAGAGAGAGACAGACCCAGCAAGCATGAGTGGGGTGAGGGAGCCCGATGCAGGGCTTGATCCCAGGACTCTGGGATCACCACCTGAGTCAAAAGAGATGTTTAACCAACTGAGCCACCCAGGTGGTCCTGCACTGAATTTTTCAGTATGAAAAATTCCAGACTAGAAAAAAACAAACCTGTATTAAGTATAGCTCTTGTTTAGGAGTAGTATCCTTTACTTGGTCCTCAAGTGTTTGATACATTTTTTAATGACTGGCTGGGAAAGAAAAAACAACTCTAGACTTTAGAACAAAAGAATATAGATGGAATATAAGGTGATAAACTTCTATTACAGGCACAGGTGGGACTTCTAGAATGGCTGAGTGAAGAGCTCAGTAAATCCTTTCTACAAAAAAGAAGAACATGATAAAACTGGACAAAATGATAAAAAAAAAAAAAGCCCCTATCATTTAAGTGCTCTGGAAATTGAACAAAGGTGTACAAGGAATTGAGAACATTTACTGATAAGAATCTACAGAAACTCAGTAACAATAGTAAGAGTCAGAACAGACTCTAATAAACGACTTCCCTGGCTGAACAGGAGAACTATAGACTGCCTGAACTTTGAAAACCCATTACCCAACACATACACTAATCCACAGACAAAGTGGGGAAGCCTCCCAGCTCAAGGTATTGAAGTACAATCTTTGACCAATCAATGACCACTAAACAATGCTGACTCAAGCTTAAAATTAAATAAATAAAAACTTAGCAGAGATATCCGTGGGAACAGTGAGAGGAAGATACAGAATTAGTTCAGGCAAGTTGCCAAGCAAAAACAGTAAGAGAACCACCCCGAGGAGTAGGGGACAGCTGAAATCTAGAGCTGCTATAATATAGTATCCTAAATATCCAGTTTTAAACAACAACAAAAAAATCATGGGGCTTGTGGAAAAGCAGGAGTGAATGCCATATACATAGGAAAAAGGTCATCAACTGACACTTTGTGGGGGTACCTCAATGTTACACTTAGCAGACAAAAACCTCAGAACAGCTATTATAAATACGTTCAAAAATTAAAATCATATTTAAAGAATTAAAGGAAAATGTGATGACAATGATTTATAAAAAAGAATATATAAAGAGAGAAATTTTATAAAAAAGAATTTAAAAAAATTCTGGAGTTGAAATTATAATGACTAAAATGAAAAAAATCAGTAGAGGGTCTCAATACGAGATTTGAGATGGCAGAAGAAAAATATCAGTGATCCTGAATACTGACCAATAGAGATGATCCAATATGCAGAAAAAAAAAATGAAGAAAAATGAATAGTACTTCAGAGAACTGTGGGATACCATTAAACACAAATGTACATGTAATTGGGAGTCTAAGAGGGAAGAAAGGGCAGAAAAAAAATGGAAGAAATAACAGCAGAAAACGCTCCAAATTTGGTACGTAACAGCACCCTGTACATAAAGAAGCTCAACAAATTCCAAGTAGGATAAGCACAGTGGGATCCACATCATACACATCATAGTCTGTTTAAAGCCATACATACACACACTAAAAAGAAAATCTTGAAGGTAATATCAAGTACAGGGGAACCATAATAATATTACCATCTGATTTCTCATTAGAAACAATGCTGGCCATCTGATGTGATTAGTCATCTGATACACCCAAAGTGCAAATGAAAAAAATAACTGATGACTAAGAATATTATACCCAGCAAGACTATCCTTTAAAAAATAAAAGCAAAATAGACATTCTTAGATAATAATTGGGAGAATTCACTACCAGCAGACCTGAGTTATAATGCATATTAAAGGAAGTTCTTCAGGTTGTAAGGAAGTGATACCAGATGTTAACTCAAATCAACACAAAGGATAGAGATTGATAAAAGTAATCACACAGGTAATTATGAAGCACAGTATAAATACGTTGTCATTTCTTAACTCATTTAAAAGACAACCACATAAAACAATATTAGTAAAATTATATTGTTGAACTTACATAAAGATAAAATGTTTATGATAATAATAGCACAAAGGAGAGAGGGGCAATGGAGTTATATTGGATTATGGAAATAACACCAGACAGTAACTCAAATCCATAGGAAGAAATAAAGAATACCAGAATGAAGGGAGGGGGGATGGAGGGAGGGGGAAGGAATACCAGAAATGGTAAACACGTAAGTTAATGTGGAAGTCTCCTATAATTACAGATATTCTCCTTTCTCCTGACTTCCTTAAAAGATAAAAAGTTACAGACTGCAATAACTATAACACTGCATTATTGGGTTTATAACATATATAGGCATTTTTTATATAGATATATTACAATAATAGCACAAAGGAGAGGGGAGGAAATGGAATTATATTGGGTCAGACTTTCTATATCTTGATGCAGTTGTTAGCATTAATTTTAGGCTGGTAAGACACATATCCTAATCTGTAGAACTACTAAGAAAATAACCAGGAAAAAAACTGTAGGCCCAACGCTTATCTGAGAACATTAGAAAGGTTAGTCATATCCACAATTGAAGTATAATTTAGGTTTGTTTTTACAACTTCATAGATTCAAGAAATACGCTTACCTGAGATACATCTGTCATGTGCCAATGAAATCAGAGGCACATTGACTTTTCCTATATATATATTCTCTTGAGTATCACTATCATCAAACACATAAAAACTCAGAGACTCTGACTTAAGGTACCGATCCAAATCCATATTCATCAGCACTGGGAAACACATGTGATCATCAAACTGTGGATCATTGCTACTGGGAATGATGGCTGTATCGTGGTCTGCAAAATCAAAAAACTTGTACACAACATATGGGTGTGGCTGAAGGTGGTTTGCTCGGGACTTCAAGTGGCTGCAACATCTGACTGTAACATGAAGTTCATTTAAGTTGCCATCTGTGGGATCAGCAGAACTGGGCTGAGAAGTTTTGGGTGCTGGCTGACTTGACTGGAAAAAAAATACATAGTTATATTACAGTAATAACACACTGAAAAGATAAATAGCAGCTGTCAAATCCCAAACAAAATAATCTGGTGAATGAACAAAAAGTTGGATATTTACACTTCATAGTGAATTTCTCAGTAAAAATCCAGATTCTTAGTCAAAACTAGTATTCCCTAGAACAAGTGTGAACAGGTGATCTTAAGATAGATGACTGAGCTTACATGTAGAAACTGTTGTTAAAACCAAGAATTGTTATTGTCGAATTCTATTTAATAACTAATGAGTAATGTGAATAGATGGGTCCAAAGACAAATGTCCTCTAGGTCACAATTTTATTAAGAGCTGATTCTTTAAGCACTCCAGCTATTGTGATCCTATCTCACTCTTATATAAGAATTCAGTGAATTTGATGGAGCCCACCCAGAGAGATTATTTCATTATATTTGGGCTGGTCCCCCTCTTCAACCAATGGTGTTTGGGAAAGCAGATATTTGAGTCGAGATTAGCCAGCATACTGAAGTTCAACTGCTATGAGAACAGGAGACCATGGTCAGAGATAAACACCGGAGGGCATAAAAAGTTAGGATTGGGAGGACATTTCAGAAGAAAGATGCGTGAAAGGAATGATCAGGCAGAGCTGGAAGATACTCCATGGCCCCTTATGAAACTATTGTTCAGGGGGCCAGTGCGTAAGTATTTTAACAAACAATTGCACTAATTGTGAAGCCCACCACAGCTAATGACTTGGGACAAAGAAATGTTAGTGTTCCAGGGCCTTGTTTAGTTTAGTGTTGGACCATTCTCTACTTTCCACAAAGGGGCTCCTCTTCAACTGCTTTTCTGAATCTGGAACCTCTGACTCCAGCAAGTTTACTGGAGAAGGCAAAATAGAACCGAACTCATCATGGCCTCAGCAGAGACATCTGATGGTGCGGTGAGGAGAAAGTGGAGAAAGGGATCCCAGTACTGCTATCCCAGGGCTGGTTTGTATTCAGCTACAGAACTCTGAGTGCAATGATTTAAGAAGTACCTCCTCTGTTTCTCACTTCAAATCTACCCACAAAAGCTGGAATTCAAATAAATGACTCACCCAAGCCAGAAAATGGGAGTCTAAAAACAATGAAACTACAAAACTAAATAAATAACCTGGTCTAATTTTTTTTTAAGATTTTATTTATTTGAGAGAGAGAGCATGAGAGGGGAGAAAGTCAGAGGGAGAAGGAGACTCCCCACAGAGCTGGGAGCCCAATGTGGGTCTTGATCCTGGGACTCCTGGATCATAACCTGAGCCGAAGGTAGTCGCTTAACCAATTGAGCCACCCAGGCACCCTAACCTGGTCTATTTTTAATTCTCTTTTTCATTACAGCATTTCCCAATGTATGTTCTGAAGAATACTAGTCCAGAAAGATGATCTCTGGGAAATAGGTGTCATTCTTTTGTAAGTTTGGGAATTAATGTTATATTAGTCCTGGTTCTTTAATTGAAAATTATGGAAACTAATTCCACCTAGCAAACACAACAAAAAGAGACTTTAATGTTAATCCATATGGTTAGTTCATAGAATTGTATAGCAGAAATGCGGGTGGGCCTTAGGAAGGTAAGAGGACTGGAAAACTGCCAGAATTTACACTCGATCTAGTGCCCATTTTTCTCCGTATGCTTGCTCATTATTCTTTCTCTCCAGACCCAGTTTCTTTCCTTTGCTGGTTAAGATGGTAGAAGATGTCTGCCCTATAGCTCCCAATTTCACATGTTCCAAGCAGGAAAAATCTTGCTTTCTCTTGAAAACAGAATCCAATTGGCTTAACTGGGGTCAGGTGGACACTCCCGAGTCAGTAGTCATAATATGAGTAGAGAGTGGCAGTGGACAGGACCACTGGGCATAAATCTGGCCTGGTGGCAGGGCCAGCCCCATGAACTGGGAGTGACAGGGGTCCAAACGAAAAAAGATAATTATGACTTGAGCAGACATTCCAATATGTTTCAACTATATTTTATCCCTTTGTTACTCAATTCAAGTGCATACTTTAAGCTTTCCTCTTGGGATTCTTGTTATACATGATGAGTCAAGGGCCCTATTTCACTGGGCTCACTTTAGTGCTTTCTGCATTCACTGGATCATGGAATTCTTTTGGAAGTATGGCTATTACAACTACATGAAACACAGCTTGGGCAATGCTGCTCTGAGGAATCGTGTTTAAACTTGCAGCTCAGGATACTGCAATTTTTCAAAAGTGCCCTGGGTAGCACAAGGAGTTCCTTTGTGGTGATGGAACAACTCTGGGTCTTTCTTGTGGTGGCAGTTACATGAATATATACAGGTGGTAAAACTGCATAGGACACACACACACACACACACACACACTCACAAGTGCATGTAAAAACTGATAAAATACGAATAAGGTCTGTAATCTAGTTAAAGGTATTGTACCAACGTCAGTTTCCTGGTTTTGATAATGTATTGCAGTTATGTAAGATGTTACAATTGGGAGAAGCTGGGTGAAGGGTACATAGAACTTCTCTGTACAGTTCTTGTACTTCCTGTAAATCTGTAATTCTTTCAAAATAAAAAGTTAAAAAGAGTCACTTGATGGCTGTGAAAGAAAATGATTTTGGTTTAAAGCATAACATAAAAAGACATATTATAAAATTTCTGTATCATAAAAATGTCTTAAAGTCCAACCAGCTCACCCATTGCATTTGCTCTGGCCCCTTATAATTTGATGTTATATATCCCAAAGCCTTTGCTCGTTCTCGATAAAGTCGAATTGCTTGATCCATGGGAATCCGTAATCTGAACCAGTATTCCACTGTGCCAAAATTTGGGATGTCTCCTTTAGTTCCTACAAACAAATGCATAACTCACTGTTAAAACTTTATACTGAGTAAAATAATATATGACTTGCACAAATGATGTGTGATTGGCAAAGAACAGAGCTGAAGAAAATCCAGTTACCTCTGTAAGTATGAGTTTCATTGTATGTTAGTATTATTAAAGAGCTATGTCAGATTATGTTTGAGATATTCCAACTTATGCTATTGCAATCCTTCTAAAATATAAAGAAAAAAACTAAACACTGTATTAAATACTGCACAGATTCTTTTTGATGCTACCGTAGCTTGTTTTTAACAAGTTGTACTCAATGTAGACTGACAGATGCAATATGAAATCTCAAAATTATAAATATGAAATTCCATATTATGATTCAACTTTCAAGACGTCTTTGGCACCTTCCCACTTCTCCACCGGGCCCCAAGTACAGGGACAAATGCTATAGCTACGCCAAATATATGCTGGATGTAATTCATGCGTGCATGAGGTTCGCCCTATATACCCTCACTCTTCTTTCCAAGTCGGGCAGCTCTTCATCTCTCTTCCTCTGTGAAGATTTCCTCTATAGCTCTTGGGGGATTTAAGGGCTCTCTGCTTCCTTCAAAGAGGGGAGGAAAATGTTCTCTCATTAAGACATTGATTCCTTTCACATAACTCTCTGTTCACCAGTGTATTTCTCCACCCACACAATAAATTTCTTGAGGGCAAGGACTGTGGTTTCCATTGATAGATTCCTACCCGAGGGACTAGTATACAATGGGTACTCAATATTTGTTGAATAGAAGATATTCTATATGTAAGCTTTCCTGAACATATATTATTAAAACTATTTCCCCATTCTCTTCTAGTTCATCAATTTCTTTCTCACTGATGGATCATTCTCATCAACATGCAAACATGATTCAAATCTGATATAATTTTTTAAAAAAAGTCCTAGAACAAGAATATTAATGCATATACATATACATATAGATATTTTCTTGTATATGCTTAAAATTTCTTTGCAAGAATTTGCAGCCTTTGGTGAGAGGTTTCAGTGTAGCTGGGGGAGGAATGGAAGAGAGAGATTTTAAAGTATAAACTTTTATACCTTTTGATTTGAGTCATGTAAATATGTTACCCCTGTCATCAATCAATCAATAAAATAAAATTCCTCCCGAGAAGCTAAGTCACCCTCTTTTCTTCTTGAAATGGTTTCTTTACTTGTCCTCTAGGATACTATATGCTCTTGGCTTGCCTTTCAAATCACTTAAGTTTCCTTTGCTGGTGTCTCTTCTTCTTCGTGAACTCTAAGTTGTGCGGTTTTCCAAGGCTCAGTCCTTGGCCACATTCTCTGCTTTGTGTACATTCACTCTCTATGTGATATTATCTAGGCCGAAGGCTTAAAATAGATTCCATATGGTAATGACTCCCCCTTTCATGTGTTTATCCCTGACCTTGGGCCTAGGGCTAGTGTATTCACTGACCACATGCCATCTCCACTTGGCTATCCAACAGGCAGCCAGTCTTAACTTGTTCAAACAAAATTCTTGATTTTCTTCCCCAGATTTGTTCCTTTCCCAGGCCTATTTCAATAAATGGGTTCGCGATTCTCCTTGTTGTGCATGCCAGAAATTCTTGTCTCCTCCATTTCCTTCATTACTCTCTATTCAATTGATAAGCAAGTCTTAAAGTTAATCAAACATAAACTGAAAATAACCACTTCTTATCACTCTTCTCACTACCATCTTACTCCAAGCCACCACCAACATCTTTCTAGATTAATGTAATAGCCTGATAATGATCCTAATTTTCCCTCTTGGCCTTAACAGACTATTCTTCCCCCAGCACCCAGGGTCGTTCTTCTAAGACATATGTGTGATCACATCACTTCCCTCTTCAAAACTCCAATGACTTTCATCACCCAGAGAGAAAAAATCCATTTGCCTCACCATGACCTACAAGTCTCTAGAGCATGATCCGGTCCTTCCACTGTTTTTTTGTTTTGTTGTTGTTTATGTTTTTTAAAGTGTACTTTCTTTTCTTTAAAAGTTTTCATTCAAATTCCAGTTAGTTAACATACAGTGTAATAGTAGTTTCAGGAACAATTTAGTGATTCAATACTTCCATACATCACCCAGGGCTCATCACGACAGACAAGTGGCCTCCTTAATCCCTGTCACCTATTTTCCCATCCCTCACCCACCTCTCTTATGGTAACCAGCAGTTTGTTCTCTAGAGTTAAGACTGTTTCTTGGTTTGCCATCCCCTCCCTTTTCTCCCTTTGCTTGTTTGTTTTGTTTCTTAAGTTCCACATATGAGTGAAATCATATGGTATTTGCCTTTCTCTGACTGACTGACTTTGCTTAGTCGTTCTTCTATTGCTTTAATCACTTTTCTGCTTTAACCACTGGCCTTCTTGCTGTTCCTCTGACATGTCATGTTTGTCCCTCCACTTGGTACTTGCTGTTACCTCTGCATGAAACATTCTTCCCTGGATCCTGTCATGGATCTTTACTCAGGTCTTTATCAATGTCAACCACCAGAGAAGTTCTTATCTGAATTAGCAACCTTCCATATTTCTTGTTAGCCTATTCATTTTTCTTCATTTGATGAGATATATATTTGTTTTATGGACTGTCTTCCCCTCTAGAAGGTAAGCTACATGATGGCAGGGGCTCTGTCCGGCTTACTTAGCACTGTATTTCCAACGCCTACTAACAGTGATAACATCAGCTCTTAAAAAAATATTTGATGGGATGCCTGGGTGGCTCAGCGGGTTAAGCTGCTGCCTTCAGCTCAGGTCATGATCCTAGCGTCCTGGGATCGAGTCCCACATTGGGCTCCTTGTCCAGTAGGGAGCCTGCTTCTCTCTCTGCCTCTGTCTGCCTCTCTGCCCGCTTGTGCTCTCTGACAAATAAATAAATAAAATCTTTAAAAAAAAATTTGATGACTGTACTACAGTTAATGCTTAATCAAAAAAAGGGTATTAATATGGTAAATAAATATTTGCACTTATAAACTTCTAAAAAATTAATAGCCATTGCACTGACATCACCCATGACATTTAGGATAGTCTAACCAACTGTGGGCAGATCAATTAGAGGACACTGTCCTACCTTCAAGGCATCTTGAATCCCTAGAGAAGGCAGTAATGTCGAACACCATATTAATATATAAACCAGATTAGCGATTCAAATGTCCAAAGTTTATAAGATTGTACTTACCAACCAAACTTGCTGTGCAAAATATTCGACCACTTTTTTCTAGGATTTCATGGAATCTCAACTGACCTGCCGCAATTGTTTCATAATCTGTGCTGTAAGCTTGGTGGACCTCAAGAGTGATAGTATTCTTCTGAATATATTGTAAAAATAAGTCATTAACATGAACGAGATATTGAGAAGTGAAGTTGTATTCTGGGTGAAGGCCTTGCACAATGGGAGTTGTCTGTAGCTCGAAATCATAGAAAGCATAGGTACAGAAAGTGACAGGCTCTTTATCTCCAGATGCCTGTAAAACTTCGGAAGAAAAGGTTACTTTGTTGATATGGATTTCAAATAGGTTTTCGCCTCGTTCTAAGTGAAGAGTTTCATCAAATTCATCAATGGAGTCATCTGGTGTGATTTCTGGTTTAAATTTATACTGCTTGGTGCCATAGGCAATATCCTTTAATTGGGCTGCAAGAGAAGACACACAGTTTAGATATTTTTAAAAAAATATTGACATATGAAGATACAAACTGGCTTTTGAAGTGGTATGAAGTCTAACTGCTTTGGTGAAGAGTCTCGATCTTAAATTCTATGACTACATGGTTTTTCTGTGGGTAATATTGTAGTCTACAAAAATTCATCCTTTGTTTTGACACCGGTTATTAACAAGAAACTTACAACTCAAGTTATAATACAGTCTGTACCAGGAGAAAGGAAAAAGAAAAAAGAAAGGTTTTTGAACGAAGAGCTGAAGTAAATATTTGGATTCTCCGTATTCTGCTGTTTCTGCTTTATTATATTCTCTCCTTTAAAGTCAGTTTCTTTTCCCACTGGCTCTTTCTCTTCAGATTCCTAAAGCTTCTCCTTTTCTACTTTTGGGGTGATGGGTATGTTTATTGCCTTGATTATGGTGATGGTTTCACAGTGTAGCCATGGGCCCAAATTCACCAAGCTATATGCCTCAAACATGTGCAGTTTAAAGTATGCTAACTGTACTTCCATAAATCTGTGTTTTAAAAAGATATGTCTTTTTTAGATACACATTTCACCCCCATGTTACATCCAAATTTCTGGAAAAAGTAACAGATGCTTGTGTGTACAGTTCATTATCAACAGACATTCTCCAACCTCCTGCAAAGAATATCTGCCTTACTTTCCTCATGAAACTGCTCCAGAAAAGGTTACCGATAGATAACAAATCAATTGCTAGATGGAATAGACTTTGGTTCTTGTATCATTGATTTCTTTGCTTCCTTGACATTGACGGTCACTTTCCCTTTTATGAACTGCTATCCTACTTTTTTTTCTTCTTCTACCTCTCTTGTTTTTTCTTTTTTCTATTTTTTTAAGGGTTTTCTCTTTTTCTCATAGTTTGCTGGGGGCCCTATTTTTATCCTCTTGTTAGTCTATATATTCTTATAGGCAACCTCCATCTTTTATGATTTCTGCTACTATCAATATGCGAAGACTTTCCTTTTTCTTTTTCTTTTTTTAAAGATTTTATTTATTTGACAGAGATCACAAGTAGGCAGAGAAGCAGGCAGAGAGAGGAGGAAGCAGTCTCCCTGCTGAGCAGAGAGCCCGATGCAGGGCTCAATCCCAGGACCCTGGGATCATGACCTGAGCTGAAGGTGGAGGCTTTAACCCACTGAGCCACCCTGGCGCCCCTCTCCTTTTTCTACTTTTATTTCAGATTTATTTTCTGAACTCCAGATCCATATATCTCATGGCTTGCTGGGCCCTCTATCTAGATATCCCCTAGCCATATCAAACTCAATATATCCAAAATAGCATAGAGCCAATGTAGAGTATTCTCTTCCAGGTATTTCTGTACTCGACATCTCAAGTGCCGGTGTTAGCATTCATCCAGTTGCTTACACCTGTTGCCACAGAATCGGTCTAGTTTCTCTTTCTCTTAACTATCACTACATCCACAGGGTCACTACAATTCAACACTGTCTCTTAAGTCTTTCCAAGTTTGTCCCTGTCCATTCTCTGTCCACTAATGCTACTTTACCTACATTCCCAGTGTTTATTACCCAGATTATCACAGAACCCAAAGTGCTTTCTTCCTTCATATCTTATTTTTTCTAATAATGATAGCATAATCTCCAAAATGTAGTTCTGAGTGTATTACTGCCTACCTTAAAAACTGCTTAGTGGTATTCTAGGTTATCAAGTGTCAAACTCTTCCAGGTGGCAAACAGGGCCTTCATGAACTGGCTCTTCCCAGCCTTAACTGGAGAGATTCTCCCCCTTTACTAACTTCGAGTTCCAATTAGACAGATCAGCATTGGTGGTATAGTGGTGAGCACAGCTGCCTTCCAATTAGACGGATCTGCATGCAGTTTGGCAAATGACAGGCCGTGCTTCACAGTTAGGGCATTTAACATGAATCCTCTACTGTCTGGAATGCCTTTCATTGTTCTTACTTAGTGGTGAATTCTGTCATTTTTTAAGATTCCAAACTTACTTAGCGGAGTCTTCCCTGAATCTTCAGGTTTAAATAGGTCTTCTCTCCTCCATGTTTCCTTGGTATCACCTGCATTTTCCTAGCTTCACATTCTTCATGGTCAAGTATGACTATTTATGTGCTCTCTCTTTGTTTAAAAAAAATACTTTATTTACTTATTTGAGAGAGAGAGAGAGAGACAGACAGACAGACAGTGAGAGCATGAGTGAGAGGGAGGAGAAGCAGAATCCCCACTATGTGTGGAGCCTGGGCCAGGGTGTCAGATGCAACAACGCAGGGTGATTCGTCAGAGCAGGGAGATCCCAGGACCCAATGAGATCACGGCCTAAGCCAAAGTCAGACGCTTAACCAACTGAGCCACCCAGGTGCCCTTATCCTATGTGCTCCATCTTATGAGTTCCTTGAGGGTGGTACCTGAGCTTTTTTTTTTTTTTTCCTATTTGGATTCTCCCTCCCTAGCACATTGCTTAGGATGCATTAAGAGCCTGAGCATGTCTAAGGAATAAATCAATAAATTTAGGGGACAGATGAAATTTATTGGTGAAGATTTAGTAAGACTAAAAAGAATGAAAATCCTAAACTATGTGACCTCCTTGTTATTCAGGAAAATTCTAGTAAGCAAATTTTTATTAAGTACTACTTGAAATAAAAGGTATATACTGCTCTTTGACTTTTGGAAAACCCTGTTCAGGCAGATAAAAATATTTATTGAACCCTTCTACTTAGAGCAGTGGTTCTTAAAGTGTGCTTTGGGAACCCTGAGGATCCCTGAAACTGCTCTGAAGGTTTGTGAGGTCAAAACTATTTTTAAAATAATCCCGACATGTCACTTATCTTTTTCATTCTTATTCTCTCACAAGTGTTTAATGGAGTTCCCCAGACTACATAATGTGTGATATCATAACAGACTGAATGCAGAAAGCAGGTTTAAAAACCCAGCTGTTTTCTATTAAGGGGCACACCAAAAAGTTTGCAAAAATGTCAAACAATTAAAAAAAATGTTAAACAGTTTAAAACAATGTCACTCTTCTCACTATTTTTCTGTATGGAAAATACAGCTTTTAAAAAAATAAATACTGTAATTTATGTTAACATGTAATGGGTTTATTATTATTTTAGCATGACATAAAATAAATATTTTCAAAATTTCTCTTTCAATTCTTAATATGATAAGTAGAACCCATATAAGCAAGAGGCCTTTGGGATCCTCAGCAATTTTCAAGAGTGTAAAATTACTGCTGGCATCAATCATTTGAATTAAACATTGTATGCCAGAGGACATGAAAGAGAGACTAAGTACTCAGCCTCATAGAATTTATATCGCAGTCACAGGGAATATGCAAAACTCGAACAGTGAAGAACACTTATATAATATAATCCCCACACACAATTTTTGAGTACATAAGAGGAAAAATGGGAAGTACTGAGGTATGTTTTACAAAGTATAGTCTTGCAATTGCATCTGAATCACTTGGGAGTTACTTCTAAATCTATAGAACCACGGATCCCCTGATCTCTAGGGGTAGGGCCCAGGAAGCTACATTTGAAACAAGTTCCTCATGTGATTTTCATACTTACTCAAGTCTGGAAACCACACTGCAAGGACATTTCAAGTAGAGGAAGGGCTAGGAGTGATTGGAGCCAGCTTCCTGGCAGAGGCGTGCATTGCATTTGGTTAGAACTCAAAGCAGGGTAAAAAGGGTATATGTTGGATATAAAGGTAGAGCAAAGGTACAGTGGCAGGACCGAGAAAGGAGAATCTGCAAAAGAGCAAGCAGACTTGTTTGGATGAGATACATAGCTTGCTTAGAAGAGAAATGAGGAATGGGTGGTGAAGTTAGTTCTGCGGTACTCCATAAAGTACTCTGAAATTTTGCCTGCAACACTGAATCTGGAAAGTAATAGAAAATTACTAAAAATTCTTAAGTAAAAAAGAATCAGATAAAAGCAACCTTTCTGGTAAATTCTCATTACAGCTATGAATTAGAAAAAAACAGAGCGAAAGGAAATGGTGAGTGTGGATTTAGATGACATTTTCAACTATTGTAAAATCCATTCATCTAGGTACTGTGGATAAGGAATTGTACCTTCTAGTTTCTGAATGCGTGCAGCTCTGCTATCAAGAAGATGAACATATTGTTCCACTTTGAGTTCATAATCTTGCTGCAAATTTTCCATCTTCTGGGTCACTGCTTCAACTTCCATCTAAAAAAAAAGAGATAACAAGTTTCAATACTTACGATTAGTTCCATTTTCATTTTTTAAAGCAACTCTGAGTCAAGCATTTCCTAGATCTTGGGGATATCAGGAGTTGTAAACCGTGGTTTTCTGACCTCAAATAGCTTACAGTTTAGAAAATTACGCTTGACAATGTTCATAAATCAGAAACAAAATTAACAAGACCCCAGATTCCTATACACTGAGGACCAGGTTGTCTCCTGCGACTTCAACAGTGACACCCACTCCTCTACCTTCGATGCTGAGGCTGGCATTGCTCTCAATGACCACTTTGTCAAACTCACTTCCTGGTATGACAATGAATTTGGCTACAGCAACCGGGTGGTGGACCTTATGGTCCACATGGCCTCCAAGGAGTAAGAGCTCCCTGAACCACCAGCCCCAGCCAGACCAAGAGGAAGAGAGAGGCCCTCAGCTGCTGGGGAATCCCTGCCCTAACTTACCCCCCAAAACACTGAGAATCTCCCAACCTCCACTATTTCCATCCCAGACCCCCTGAAGAAGGGGAGGGGCTTGGGGAGCCCTACCTTGTCATGTACCATTAATAAAGTATACTGTACCCAGCCAAAAAACAACAACAACAACAACAACAACAACAAACAAAACAAGACCCCAGATTCCTTCTCACAGAGGTGACTTTCCTGTTTGTTAAAGGCTAAGATAACATGTGGTTGCGGTAGGATAGCTACAATGCATTTGCAGAACGTGCTAATACCAGCACAGGCGAATTTGTGGCTGCTGTTTCTGCTCTAAAAACCAGGGGCTTTAAAAAAATTATTTGTTTTTAAACTATTTACTCTAAGCACCTAGTTACGAGGCCAAATTCCAGACGTGTGGTAATACATGATAAGAGATGATAACAGATGATAATACGTAATACTGCTCTGAAAAGTAATCATCAGCAGAATATCATAGGAAGCCTATTCTCCCGTCTTGTGCAGCACATTACCTGATAATCTTTATTAATTTTATGTTGCATAATTAGCATGTTTCGTGTCTTTTCAAGTTCTTGCACTGTTTCTGCATGAGTTGCTTGTAGCTCTTTCATGGAGCGTTCTAGATCTTTGTTAATTTTATTGTCTACTTTCTCTAAAAAGGAAAGGTCTCCGTTTTTTTGTGATTTTTGAGCCTAAAATAAAAACATGTTTTATTACTGAAATAAGAGTTTCTAAAATGTAATCATGTGAATTAATACAGATAGAGCGAGGAACAATCATTAATTGAAAACAGATATATTTCCATTTTCCATCAGGAATAAAACTATCCTGATACAGAAAATGTATTTAGATAGACATCTGGAAAAATTACAGAGAATTCTTAAAACAGTTTATTACTTCATGACATAAAGAAGAATCATGTACATTTATTTCCATTTCTTCAACTGATTAAAAGCTACACTGTTGATCTAAAGGGAAAGAAATGTATTTTCTCGTGTTGTCTTATAGATAACAGATTATCCTAGAACTGAAAAATATCTTCTGGTAACATTTATAATTCAATATTTTATTTAAGATAATCGGGTGTACCAAGGCCTCTTAGGACAGAAAATTATTGAATAGCTTTATAGCGAGGCGTGTAAAAGTGAAATGTTTGTTACAGTTGGAGAAAGTGCTTTAAATAAGAGTTTTTGAGGTCTATTTTAATGTAATTTTGATGTCATTATGAAATATGTATATGCTGTAACTAAATGTCACCTGACCACTTTCCTGAATAATTCATTCTCCAGGTATAAGGGTTACAGACAAGGGTCATCCTTATGCTGAAACAGTTCTATGTAGACATGAAATTCATGAAAGTTACCTTTATAAGCAGGAGAGCTTTACTCAATTCTTCAGCATTAATATCACTCTCCTGCAAAAGACAGGGTAAGTAAAAGCTCACAATGAGATATTAATGGAAAGTACAAGAGACATTCCAGCTATGCAGATTATCCGCATGGAGCACAAGTTGCCTGATACCACAAACTAAGAAACTAAGTATAAAAGACATTCCAACTCTTCAGAATCTTCCCTCTGAAATGTAAGCTGGCTAACAACCATGAATTAAGAAACTAAGTAATACACTTGTACTCTTTTGCTTTGTAGTACAGTTTCCTCCAAGCATAAAATATCGAGATAAAAATTTGATGTTTATTTCCTAAATAAGAAAACAGTTCACCTGGTTGTAAAACTTTAGGCGGTGTTTAAGGTCATCAAGTTGTTGTTTTTGTTCCAGATACTGTAACTGTATTTCTCTGTTTTCTTGACTGAGTTTCTCATTTTGGTCTTAAAAATAAAGTTGACACAATTAGAAAGGGAAGAGAGCCTGAGGCGTAAGAACACATTTAAAATTAATTTAATTCCTGATACACACCAAGCTCAAACAAGCATTGCTCTGGTCAGAGAGGAAATTGTGCTAGCACCTAGACAAAGGCAGTGAGGGAATGAGGAACAAGCGAACACTATCATGTGTCTACCATATGATCCAGTTGCTTATCAAAAACTGAAGACTTAAGTTCACAGTATTAATATAAGGAAATTGTGGCCTCTGAGACTTCAAAGGAACATTCTATCTAAATACCTAAGAAAATATGTTTCTAAATCTATGATTTTTACTTACTTATGAAGGGTCCTGAAAGGCATGCAAAAAAAATTTTTTTTTTGCCTTTTAGTGTTTTAATTGACTTCAAGTTTTCTTTTCCAAATTTAGCATAAAGTCTTTTTATTAAAACAACATAATTTCTCCGGTAATAACTACACCGATAATTTTAATCAACCACACTTTGAACAAATCTGTTAAGATAGGAGAAATGGATTCTCAGCCAGTGCATGGTAGCATCAGTAATAATTCATGTGTGCTCTTTATTCATTGATTTTGTGCTATTAATTGGTAGGACACGGACTCAGAGCTCTCGTTAAGGAGTAGAGATAGGTTACATTCGCCAAGGCACTCATTCACCTGAACCCACAAGCAGGAGCATAGGGTAGAGCTACAGAAGACAGTAATTCTACAAAGAGACTAATTTTTTCCTCCCTGCATTAAACATATGCTTAACTTAAAAGGAAAAAAAAAGCTAGCTAACAAATCTATTCCTTAGTCTCATGTTCTTAAGTGTACTCTTCAACAGAGTTCAAGTATTCTTTTTGGCTCCCTGTAGCCTAACTCTAAACCATGTCATCCAAAGTGTATCCACTAATCTCATCCTATTTTCAAAGACTTGTGTTTATCAAAAGTTCCCAATTCAAGTTGTACGTTCTTGTTTCCATTTCTTACAAAAAGCAAGCCAAAGCATTTGCCAAGAATTCCTTACGTGAATACATTTGCACACTGAATGCCTTTTATACAAAAATACATTTCTGACTTTTACAATGCTTTGTGTTCCCAAGCTATAAATGCTACATATAAGTGAAAATTGTAAATTACACAGTTAAGAAGCAAGGGCCTAAATCTGGATATTTTTAATGTCACATATTTCCTGGCAAACTAAAAAGGAAAAAAGAAAGTGACTCTAAGGTATGCAGAGACATGTTACTATCAAATATATAAATGTTTTTTATCTTATCGATAAAAGATTAAAAGGTATAGAATATAAACTGCTAATACTCAGTGACCTAAATGAGAGAGTTTCCAAATGTGAACAATATTTGGAAATTTTGGAAGGTAAGGTCAAATACCTGTCTTCAAATTAAAAATTAGGATTAATAATAAATATGAATTCATAGAGGAAATAAACAACTCTTGGTTACAGAGTAGAATAAGAAGGCAAAATGTTTTATTCTATGTTGATTAGGTTAAAAAATCTAGATAGGAATGGCTAGGTACCAAAAATAAGGTAAATACAGTAAGAAAAATGTAAAACCAAAGGTCTTGAGAATGATGTAATTTCCTTCTCAGGCCTGCAAGAAGTGTTATGGGTCGTGAGAATGAGGTAAAGGGTAAAGGGCATGACTTCCCCACCTTCATCCAGACAGAGTGTATTTTGATTTCTAGTTTTGTGCTCTAGTTTTTCTATTCTTTCAATATTTCAGAGCAGGGTCCTAAGGATGATATGCTAGTAGGTATAAATAAACTTATTCAAATGTTTCTTCCTTTGCTGGTTTCTGTTTCCACAATCATGTCCCCGTTTCACTGATCTTTTTGAAACTAGGGTGTTATTAGTGGGAAAATAACTTATTAGTGGAAGAAGACATTACTGAATGCCAGTACCTTTCTCTCTGCTAAATTTTATGTAGAATTATCCACAATATTTTTCCTTTCTCAAACTGTTTACTGGGGGTAGAACTCCTGAATCTTTTAAAAGCACGGAGACGCTGTAGTTCAAAGAAGAGATAGACTTGCTGAATTATAATATGAAAAATCAAAGCATCCTGTACAAGATGAAAAATAACCTCCTTACCTTATGATTTGACAAAAAGCAGGTTAAGCTAAACAGCATTTTATTCAAATGAGATAACATTTTACTCTTTTAAAATTATGTTCTTCAAGCACACCATTAATAAGCAGAGTGCAGAGAACAATTCAGCTAAACAATTTTCAGAGCTCCTTTGTGCTAATATCTTCAGCTGTGATCAATATAACCATATGCATTATGCTGAATTATGCATTTCGGCTAAAGATAGAAAGGAACTTTCAAAAGCAGGGCCTTTAAACACATGCAGTTAATTTAAGCATTAAGCAAATGCAAACTGCATTTACATATCCTTCCCCCACATATTCACACAATCTGAAACTAATTTGTACCTTGAATAAAGAGGTGAGTATTCTCTAAAAATAATTTGCCAGTTAGATGAATGACTCTAAGAACCCAGGGAAACATCTTCTGGCAAAGAACACTTGATACATGAAAAGGTAAATGTGTGAAGAGACTTCAAAGTAAAATGAAACAATTTCAAAATCCGCAATACAAAAAGGAACTTCCTAAATATTAAAAGACTTCCTTATATAGATAATTCTAATTTTTTTTGTTTGTTTAGTATTTCCCTGGAAAACAATGGCTCAAGGCTGTAATATTTTTCTTATAATCTATTGTAACATTTTCACAAAAAACCTCTGCACCTAAATCATTAGGTCTATAAATTCCAGGTAGTCAAGCAAAATAACTAAAATAACAATTGTATTAAAAAGATTCAGTTCTAGCAATTTTTCTTATGAAGACAAATGAATAAATGTGTAAAGATTTGTGTAGAAAGATGTTTATGATACTTTAAAAAGTGGAAGCTATTTAAAAATTCATCCACAGAAGATTGTTAAACAATCTTTGGTACATCCTCACATGGAACATTATGACAGCCATTATAAATAATGATGATGTGAATTTACATTTATACTCAAGGAATGATTTCATGATAGAGTAAATTAAAAAGCACATTATGAAACTATCTATGCATATAGAAACAACTCTGGAAGGACACACATAAAAATAGTAATAGTGACTATCTTATGGTTGTGTGATTGAGGGACTTTTAGATTTTTTTTTTTTTTTGGTTTACCGTACTTTTTTAATGGTTATACATGAATTATTTTTAATCATTCAAAAAAATACCAAGAAGACATAAAAACTAGTAAAAAAAAAAAAAAGATGAAGAATGGGTTAATGGTGGATTAAAATAACTTAGCAACTGTTGTTTTAATCATTTAAAAGAAACTTTGGAGTTAATTCAACAATAATAGATCAGTTTAAAAAAAAAAAAAAAGACCACCAAGATTCTGTCCCCTTAAGAGTTTCTTTCTAGAGACCAATTCAGATGTATAAAGAGTTTTAGAACTTTTAATATTTAGGGAAAGACAGAAAGCACAGAAATAAGAGTTTTCTTTTTTTTCCATTTCTCTTCCTTTAAGAATGAGCAGTTTACACTTGTCTTTGGAAAAGAGAGAGGATATAGAGTGCTTCTGCTTCCTTCAGTCAACAAGGATTTACTGAGCAGCTGGTAAACAAAAGCGCTCTGTTAAGTATCACATGAAAGTCAGGAACTATATATCCTTGACATCAAATACCCACCCAGTTACAAATCATGTCACTATCTCATTCTACTCACAATATTCCCAAGAAAAATTCATAAATAATTTTTCACCAAAATTCAATCACTTGGTAAGTAAATACTACACGTGTGTTTCACTGAATTTAAGACTACATCAATTACGAGAAGTGTTCCGATTTCAGACTTCTTAAAAAAAGGTCAGACCATAATTTTAAAATGTTATCATTTGTAAGATGCCTCCTAATTTCAGAGATGTCAAAATGGGAAAAAAAAAATCTCTCTTATCCTTAATAAAATAGGGCATTGTGATCTAAATCAATATATAGAATACTTACTAAATATGTGATTTTTTTAACTGAGCCTGCATTAAACTTTGAAATGCTCTTGTGCAACATAATTGCAAATGTTCAAAAGAAGCAATCTTATTATAACATCCTTTGGTTTATGTAGTGGATAAGCAACAGATACAATGTTTGAAACAAAAAATTCAATTTCCCTGTTGTGCACTTGTGTGTATAATCTAGCAAATCAGACATCTACTTTAATTATAATTATTTTATTTCCATGAGATGAGAAGGGTGAGATCTGTGACTTGTATATGAAACTTATTAATGATTATTATTTTAGCAGGGACATCTTGACAAGTCTTCCTGGTATTTAAGTTCACTGTCACAGAGTAGATTTAGACGTTCTCATTATTGCAGAGATCTTCCCTGCTAGGCCTATCAAAACCAGAAACTACTTCTGCTCCTCTGTCATCTTACGCTGCTTTGTTTTTATTCCCACTACACTTGTCGCCACCTGACACGTTGCATATTTATTTAATTATTGTCAGTTTCTCCCTATTGAGTTTATGTTGCATGAGGGCAAGGCCTTTGTTTCAGTCATTAATGTATTCCCCAGAACTTCGAACAGTGTCTAGCACATTCTGGAGGCTCAATAAATGCTTGTTGACTGCTGTATACAGAAAGGCTTGACTGACATTTAGGAAAGCAACAACGAAGACAACAAAATGAAAGGTAATCTGAATAAAAGTATCTCTGATGAAAAAACAAGTCCTTTGGCACATATGCTAGGCTGAGTAAATGGAAATCTGGAGTGACCGGTAAGCTCATGCAAGTGGATGGCCGTTAATATGAGCTGTGTTCCCCATATGGAGCAAGGCGCCTGGCAAAACAGTAGGTGCCTCATCAGTGCTGAGTCAGTGAATAACAAGAATAAGACAGATGTCTGAAATGAATAAGTCAGTAGTCGTTTTGTATGTACCTCTTTCGGTTTTGAATCTGTCAAGGATTTCAGTTTTGTCTGTTAGGTCAGATTTTAAGGCAGTCTCGAGTTGAGCGATCTGAACTTTCAGCTGCTGTTCCTTTAACTTCCATTGCTCTTCGTGGGCAGCACTGAAGGCACTGCAAAACACACGTGACATGCAAGGAGAGCCTGGAAATCGGCTTCGACCGAAAATACGAGAGAGAAAAGCTTTTAGTGGCACAGAGACCACTGTCATCATGTCTTAGGAATTAAGTAAACATATGCTGGTCTGCTGCTGTTGAAACCAAGGCGCCTTTCTCAGGCTGCGGTTAGGAAACATGAAAGGGTTGTGGGATGAGCAAAGGAACTGGCCTTAATTTAGAGCTCTACAGTCAGAAAAGTTGGCAGTGTGCAGCTTTTGTGGGACTAGTAAAGGAATTCAGATACTGTACATACTCCAGAGGAATCCGCAATTCCAAGCCTCAGCCAGCGGCTTTGGATAAAACTCTTCTCTCCCACATACAAACCCTCTTAATACAGGGAAAAGGGGCTCGCCACCTGATCTCCACTTCTAGAATCTGAAACTTTTACTGAGTGTGCTAATAACACATTCACAAAATTCTGGCCATGAAATGAATAGCACAGTGAATGACAAGACAGTAATTCTGTTGTGAAGAAGCACTGACTGTAGTTTTTGTCCTAAAACACCAACAGCAATAACAGGCTAAGAACAAAGTTTTACTTGTAACACGGCTGGTGTGGAAACCCAGTGAGAACACCCTGGTAAGAAGGACGAAGACAGAAATGTTATTCCCTAGTAAAAGCGTAGCCGTTTAAACTCACGTTCCAGTCTACTGATGATGAAATCCCAGCATTCATTTACGCTAGTGGCTGCTGAATGCTGATGAACTAAACACTTGCGCTAGGCCAGCTGCACTGAAATCAGGGAGATTTAAAAATGAAGGTCCTGGGGCCCAGGAATTCAGTTTTACAAAGCTTCCCCAGGTGATAGCCAGGTTTTGGGAAAAGTGATCTTGATCTATATTTCAGCAGAAAACTATTATCTGTGAGGCCTGATATGACTGAATAATTATCAGCAGCTTTGACCCTTCTCCTTATTTTAAACCCGGCAAATGAAACAAAAACTTTATAAAATCTTGTTTTGTACTGATGATGCAGTAAATGGAAGAAAAACTTGTTATTGAAAATTGCCCTTAATGTTGCTCCTCGAGGTTTTATTCCAAAAGAGATACCTTTCTAGGAGGCATAGCTTTCAAAGGAAAAGAATTGTGTGTCGATTTTACATTTTGAATGTTTTTATTGCATTTAAAATAATATGAATGTAAAAGAAATGGAATTCTAGAAGTTTCTCTAAATATGACATCTCATTTCACAAACGGAATCTCAAGAAATGCATGGACCTATATACCAATATTTCAAGTCAATTTTATCAGAGGTACAATTACCTAGACTTACATGAAAGTATGTACTTTAAATATTAAAGAATATTTCTTTACATTTTCACTTTTTAAAATAAAGAACAAATATGCTTTTTGTTCTGGTCAAATTATGTAAACCAAAACGTGTGTGTGTGTGTGTATGTGTGTGTCTTGTATTATTAAAAACATGTACTACCCGGAAAAAAAAATTAGCATGATGAAATAGGCACAATTATACATTATATCAGATGCCAAAAATTAGAAACAGTAGTGTTCCAATAGCATTAGTACCAGCAAAAAGATCACCAACAGTTAATCTGGCAGAAACATCAGAAGCTGTATGTGTTTAAATTAAGAACAATTTAGCAGCCTGGTTTTTCCAAACCCACAAAATACTAGTGTAAATCAGCATAAGTCAATCTGAATTTAGTCCACTGCTATCTTCTTCTAAATTTAGGATTACATTCCACTGGAGTTTCATGAGGAATTCCTTTTGAATTTACTGTATTCCTCTATGCTTGGAGCCATCTGTGTAACTATAAATGGTGAACCACATCTGGCTCCATTTTCTTTGTAAAGGCTGTGTACATGATTAAATCTGCATATGAGAACAGTCTTTGAGAACCTTTTATTCATGAAAATGTTTTCGTATATTGCCTACAGTGACAACTGAGGGGGAATCACAGTTGGTCCGTGTGCACATTTCATTGCTACATTCTGTTGCAGAAGTGAGAAAATGTCGCTCTACATTTGAATGCCCATTGGTGCCTGTGGTCGCTGGCATGTCCACTGGCAGTCGTGGGTGAGCACACGCACTACTGAACAACATGATCAGACAGAAATAAGAGCTGAAGAATTCGTCCCCACCCTAAAGTCTTTTTCCTTACAGAAGAAATTCCATGTATTCTAATGTTTAAGGGCACCCTAATGGGAGACAGAGGGAAGAATAAGGTCTAAGTCATCCACAAAGAGATCCATAGGTACTTTAGTTAGGACCTAACGGAAATTAAATATGTATTTACATAGGGCCATCTCACTTACTGAAGGACAATGATGCTCCAAATGTACTCAGTTTGATTTCTGGGAAGCACCAAGTGCTCCTATTTGATCACATGAGCTCTCACGGTTCCTAGAAGATTGCAGGGGACGGGTGTTCACTTTATAGAAATGGAGCCCAGAGAGTCTATGGATGGTGAGCAGTGTTCCATTAAATTCTGGATAATGGATGACTCCTAATTACACAGTAAAAAACAATTCTTGAAGCGGTTAATACCATCTTCAAAAACTAAACCGACTCTTTTTTTAAAGTAGGTATTAGATTAGTGTCTTCAAGGGAGTCAATACCTTTTAAAATCCCCTCTAACAGATTGTCTGGATCCTATCTCAAATCAACTAAATCTGAATTGCATGGTGGTCCTAGGCAGGGGAGGGAGGTTCCAAAGGGGTGGTTAACCTACATTTTGCTGTTTTCCGGGTTATTCATATATACTCTAGTGGAAGGACTATTGGATTCATCAGTTATACCACTCTAAAACTATAATAACTTAAAAAATGGGACATGGCTTTACAATATTGTAGTATAAAGTTTCTCTCTGACCACACAGATTTAACTGCGAAAAATTTACTCTGAATCTTTAAATGGAATATTTCTTAAAGTCATACTTATTTCATGGCATTGTATCAAAAATGTTCTTGCATATTAAAACAAGCTCATACCAAATTCTAACATGAGGGTTTTATCTAACCAGATGATTCTCTAATATGTCATATGTCAAGTAATAAACACATTCAAAATTTCATTTGGAAAAGGAAGATGAGAATGTAATCTGCAAATCATATTTTTCCCCTGAAAACTAGCCAACTTTGAATAACAAACAAATGCTCTCCTTGAAAAAACACGCTATCACTATGACTAACCAAACAGGGAGTAAAATTTATTTAGTTTTTGATGAGCACTAGTTGTTGGCAATGATGAATAACAGTGCCATGCAACACAAAAGCTGTAAAGAATCATAAGGACAACGATGATTTTTGTAGAAGTTTCTCCAACTCTGCTTCTGAAAACAAATTATATATTAAAAATTTGTATTAGAGAATGTTATAGTTCTATTTGCTATCATGTGTGCTTGCTGGGTTTTGTGCTTAAGTGACATTAATTTTTTTTGGACACAAAATGTTTTGACACTCACTACATACATTTACTTCCATACATCTCACACAAAATTCAAGTGTAAGCAGCATAATGAAGTCTGTTTTTAATATGACAGGAAAAAAACTGTAGCTCAAGCATAAAACATTAAAAAAAACCCTTCAAACTCAGATTTACACTCTCAGATCATCTTCTAATATGGAGAGATAAAGTTTCATAGTGATAAAGTAAACATGAGAAAAACATGTCTCCCTCAAAATTCCATTTATGCATTATTCCCAGCTAAGTTTAATGTTTTTTATTCCCAGAAGGTATGTTCAGTAAATCCTCAAATTGGGAAGTAGAAAATGTATAAGTAATGGCCAATGGCAGTTATTTTCTTGTATTAAGACCATGTTAAATTATTTGAAATTATAAGATGTTGAAGATAAATATAAACCAATAAAAATCTCTGAATGTATGGTAGTTCTATTATTCCATGAACATTTTCCTTCCACAGAATCAGTTTCCCAATGCAATTAAAATCCAAGAGATAGTGAAGCACAGTGAAAGAAATTCAAGTTTTAGAGTCAAAAGAATTGGGTTTGGGTCCAATACTGGTGTCTCAGCAATGCTGTGTGACTCTGTATATGTTTCTTAATTTTTCTTGAGTCTCAGTTCCCTCATTTCTAAAATATGAGGATAACATTATTTTCTCTGCCCTACAATGCAGTGGTTGTATGATCTATATACCGAAATTTGGAATTTTCAAACATAACTACTAGATACTTAGATAAATATCAATATAAACCTTGTATTGTTCTATAGAAATGAAAATACAAAACAGGAATCATAATAAATGCTCTAGGTAAAATTAATGGGGCTGATGAGAAAGGCATCAGAAGAAAGCAAATTGGGCCAAGTGATCTGGAAGGGGTCCAAGGTAGATCCCACATAAAGATTTTTAGCCAGGCTTCCTTGTTGGAGAGCCCCAGATATTATTTTAACTGATGTCTGAATCTGTTATTAATAACTCTTCATATAACGAGCCACTGTGCAAAGATAATCAACACTAGTCGGTAAACACCACAGATGATCTGTGAACTGGAATGATGTCTAACAATACTCTATGAATCTTTTCAAAGTAAAAATAAATAAAAGCCTAACCCTACACTCTGATTAATTTATAAAATGTAAATTCAGTTTACAAAACATCCAAAACATACAGTTAAAGAGAGGTGTGTCTGTACATCATCAGATGGCTACTTTCTGATGTTTCAGAAGATAATAGAAGCAACTGTTGAATATCAGCTCTAACATATATCTTCTAATATATATATTAAATCTGCTTTCATATAAACTTTTATTTATCCTTTATCAGTTATTATATACTAAAAAGACTTGAAAATACACATATATACACAGACACAGACACACACACACACACACACACAGGTATCTGTACTGCTTAACTAAGCTTGGCTGTGGTGTGGAATTTTGTTTCTAACATTATTAACAAGGATTAATTCTTTAAAATACTATCACTATGAAGTAGATTAAAAAACAAAACTGAAGTTGCTCTTTAAAATTCATCTTGAGGGGTGTCTGGCTGCCTTAGTTGGAAATACATGTGACTCTTTGTCTTGGGGTCATGAGTTTGAGTCCCATGTTGGGTGTAGAGATTACTTATATATAAATAAACAAATTTATCTTGAGATAAAGATACTTGAGTTTCTTTTTATAAGGAGCAGAGACAAGTGTAAGTGCACACCTTTGTTTTCCACCAAGAGAATCATTCTTGGCTAATAGGTTGGAGAGCCCAGTGGAAGAGACCAGGGCTTGGAGAGACCAAAAGTAGTACAAATACAAGCTTTGTAACTTCCAAACTTTTAGAGTGTAGGTAAGTTACCTATTTCTGTTTTATTTTCATTGCCTGCAAAATTAGCATTTATACTACCTACATTCCCAGGTTGTTGCGAGAAATTTTTAATAATACATGAAAGAGAAATATTTAGTACAGTGGCTGCTTGCTTACAGTTTATATTCAATAAGTGGTAACAGCAGTTGTTACTGGCAACAAAATGATACGGTTTTCTAGTAAGACTACTGCTCAGCTTCAAGAACTTTCTACGAATGCCTAAAAAAAAGCTTATTTTTTTTTTAGAACACATACATATTTCTTGCAATTATCCATTGCTAATTCTTTAATCAATATTAGATATTCTGACACCCATTGCTGTGATACAAAAGATCTCAAACAAGAGAATGAGAGAACACATGTAATAATGATTTACCTGTTATAAAGTTTATCATAGTTTTCCTTTAAAAGTTCCCGTTCCTTTTCTAAATCATTAATTCTATCCTGCAGCTAAAATGAAAAGAAAATGACACATTAGGTGAATATCCAATAAAGCCACACAGGAGTAAAATAACATGAGAGGAAGCTAAGATGTTTTAGTCTTGACTTCTAAATTTCAGCTGCTAACTAGTCAACTTTTATTGTCTGTATTTAATTTAGCATTGATTTTTTCCAAGTTGTTAAGTAAACATGAAATTAATATTTCTGTTTTAATTTAGTAGAAACGTATGCATTGCTTTATGGTGACATGTGCCAAAACTCAATAAAGAATGTGTTAAAAGTTTGCTATGAAGTCTGGGAAACGTAATATTTTTTATTTTCCCTCCTGATGAATTCCATCATTTTATTCATTTTGTATTAATTTCCAATTGGCCCATAAAAAATGAAAGGATTAACTTTTCTTTTGGTTCATGGTTCAAACAAATCACAATTCACTCTGAAGACACAATTTCTTATGTTATCTGGAATTTACAAAGAGCCAGTAGCACATCTTTTAAATAAATGAATGAATAAATAAAATCGTATACCTTGTTTTATTGAATAATTTTAGAAATAAACTCGGGATAACCACTATAGCTTTATGACTAAAATATAGTTTTCTGAATTTATTCCTAGCATTCATGTTTAAGTTTTATTCACTGGTATATTTTGTAGTTAAAACTTTTTCCCAGGGGTCAGTCCTCTTAAAATTCATTTCCATGTTCATAATTCCCTTTTGATGCTAGTTTGAGACACAGTAAGGATTCTCTCGAGATCAGAACAGAATGTAGGCATCTTATTTCATTGCCATTCTCTTCAAGAACAAGTTTCAAAGATGACAGAGACTGTGCTAGCTGGGAGACATGAGTAGCAACAATAATAGAAAGATGAGTTTTCAAACAACTTCCTAGTAAAAAAGGAAATAATGTCACAGAACTGCTGATGTAGCAGAACAGAATATCTTCCCCCTCAAAAACAGACGTGTATTTGTCTAACAAGGTCTTGGTACCTCAAATGGCTAATCAGATGTTAAGGCTGAGAAAGTTAAGTTCCACAGGTAAGTCGCAAAATGTTATGTGTTCCTTTTCCTTATGAATTAATCCTTAGGGAAAGATTCTTAGGGAAACTGTGGTTATCAACACATTTGCACTATTTCGAGGCACTGAGTTGGCATGTACCCAACAAACTTACTATATTTTGCTGTGCCCAAAGCACCATGTACGTAGTTCAGGATCTTTAAATAAAGGTACTATTTGGAATGTGTCTATTTTACTTTTTCGAAACAGGGACAGAGAAGTTTTAATGCAAGGAATGGTTAATAAACTTTTGGAGGCTTACCTCCTCTACTCTTTTTTCAGAAAATGTCACGGAATGTAACTGTTTCTCAAGACTGCAGCATTTTAAACGCTGCTCCTTGAGCTGCCTATTTAGCTCATCTCCGTTTGCCATCAAGGCATCATGGCTGATCCGGAGACTTCTTTGCTTCTAAAAAACAAAAAGAAAATTTTTTCAAAGTTAATTTTTGGATTCTGCATTAAGTAAGTGATGACAATTTTATAAGTGAATTTACTCCTAAAGCTCACCTTATACAGTTTATTCTTCACCTCACAGACAATGCATATGGGCTACCTGTCCATGGAGACACTTAGGTGTATAATGAGGGAAAAAAAGTACAGGATTCTCTTAGCGCAGAATCACATAATGCAAAATTTTGTCCTTTATTTCCCCCTAGTTTTTGACTGATTGGCGACCAGTGAGTAAATTAGTTTCAGCAATTTTTTTTCTTTCTGCTGTGGTTACTGTGGTTGGACGTGCTGTCTAAAAATGCTGACCATAGATAATCAGACTTGAAAGGATTTGTCACCACAGCACATAAACAGCCGAACAGAAGGTTGTTTTAATACAATTAGGTTGAAATTTTCAATTCAGTACAATAGTTATTGAAATCTTAATTTTTTAAAACAGATTTTTATATTTATTCATTTTTAAGTAATCTCTACGCCCCAAGTGGGGCCTGAACTCACCACTCTGACCGAAACAGCCAGGCATCCCAATTTCTTAATTTTTAAACTGGCATTTATGAATATGTTTAAAATTCTAATTTATATTCTTAATGTCACATGCTTTTTTTTAACAAGTAAAAAGATGATCATACTAAAGTTTTCTCATAGAGACCATACAACCATAACATGTAACACCCAATGGCTCATCTGCTAATTAGTATCACTTATGTTCTACTAAAGTTCTCCAATCATTTAAAGGAAACATGGCCCTTGAGTAACTTCAGTCCAACTTTTTCCTGGTCTTATCATAGCACGCTATCTTTAACCAGCTTTTCCTGGGCTTCCTACCTCATTCATTGAAGCTGTTGGTCTGAACCTCTCAAATCTTTCTTTACTCAGTATCAATCCCCCTAAGAGGAGCCTGTGCCATTGCAGACACTTGTCCTTGTTGGTCTTTGAACAAATACCTGGCAGTACTGTTAAATGGAAGCCAAAATGGTCACAATGATGAAAGAATGTAAGCTCACTTTTTTAATTCCTTCCCTAATTCCCATGTTAGAAATGGCCCTCAGCTCCGTGTTTGCTTAACCTCCCTCTTCTATCTGTGGGCAGACAGTGCTATTGTCTCCACTCTCCAACTAGTCTTCTCTCTTTCATAAATCCTCATATTTATATGGAAGGCAGTTATTATTACTTCACATTAAAGGAGGTTCCTACAGGAGGGAAAACACCAACCAGAATACATTTTAAAAATATTTATCTAATTCAGTAGTAAATTTAGGCTTCAGATGACTATGCTTTCCATCAATTTACTGCTTTCCTTATCTCTGTACTTCAAATAAAGTACTGCTTAATATGAATTCTGCTCGTCTGGAATGTTTTGGAGTTCATTAATTCCAGAACCTATGTTAATTATGCAGTTCCAATAAATAGGCATTTTCTGATGGCACATTCCTGTAGGGCTACAGTCCTAAGGCAGCCGGGATGAAGAGTCCCAAGTATTTCCAACCTGAATGGTCAAGATTTAAAATAAGTACACTGATAGTTGACATGATGGGTACTCAAATATTTTGTGAGAATGGTGGTTAGTGACAAAACACTGCATCAAAGAAACACTGAACAAAACCTGATTACTCGTATTTTTAACTTGATCTATCTTGGATATCTCATAAATGCTTGTAACTGAAGATAGATGCAAATACATCTAACCCTTCAGTGCTATGTGTCCATAAGAATTCAGATAAAAGGAGTTAAAAATATATTTTCTTGGCATGAAATAATTTATGATAAATATATTTATTACTTTGAGATGACACAGATATTTATAAAAAGTCCAAGCAGTTATTTCTTTAGTCATTAGGTTATAAATTACAAATAATATACGAAGTGAAATCATACACATTTAAGAAAAAAGAGCATCTTTAAAAATAACTTCTTAGTGTTATGACCAATCTATTAAAAAATATAACTTAAACACTATCTTTGATAGTATATCTATGTATACCCTATGTAACACATAGATAACTTTGTATCTATGTATCACCATAATAAAAAAAAATGATCACAGTACCTCTTGAAGCTGAATAAATTTTCCTTCCATTACTGAAAGAGCATTGCTTTTTTCCACTAGTTGTTTATGAAGCTTAATCATTTCTACATTGTCCCGAATGTTTGACCTTCAACAATGTTTAAGAAAAGAGAGACAGAGTAAAAAAATGCAAGGCAAAAGAAAAAAATCTGGGGTGGAATCACAATTTTTCATTGAAATGTTACCTAAGTTTTTAGTTTATTATACACTTAGGATAGATTTATTATTTAAAACCAACCAATCATTGTTCTTTAACTTTCATTAAATCAGACTCTCAGAGTTTGAGGGGAGACTCACATTTGAGGACCTGTGTCACCTCCACAACAACTGATAATATGCACGTAAAACCCTTTTACGGCGTCCTGAAAGATGGTGCAAAAGGACATCAGTCCATAGCACAGCAATCGTTCCACGCCATACTTACTTTAAGGAGGACGATCATACTACTTTTCCTTAAGAGAAAAATGTGCAAGACAGCCACTCCTCTTCCTACCACTCCCTTAAAACAAATGGTATCATAAGATTACCATTTACTGGAGTTTCCTCCTGGAGCTTCAACTTTTCAAAATATTTCCCAAAAAAGTGACTTAGCATTTTATACTAATAATGCCCAAAGCTGGCATTTAAATATGTTGCAGATGTGCCTTTAGCTGTAAGAGATCATTTGACGTCCACAGGGTATATAAGAAACTCTATATGCTGTAATACTAGTTTGTATTTTTCCTACTGAGATTAAAGCAAATGCAGAATTTAACAGGAAGATCTTGTTAAAGGTTAATCATAGAGCTAAATGAATACTCGTTTTAAGAGACATTTACTTTCCCAACAGAGGTAGTCTCCTTAATCTCATACGTTTTATATTCAAAAGTATCTTAACGCTTGTGAAGCTCAGTTTTAGACTTCATTTCTTTAAGAAAAAAAAAAGCATAAACATTTTAAATTCAGAACTTACTTCAGGATTTAAAGTAAGTAATTTTACTTCCAAAACTTATCTAGTGTACACATATTGGAAAGATTGTCACAATGCCCTACTGGAACCAGAAAATGGACTACAAAGCTCACACATCTGTAAACCAGCTGAGGACTTGGAATACTTAATTTTCCTCTTTGATATTTGAAAGTTCATTGTATTTTGGCATCGGACAGTTAGTTGTCCTCACACAGAAGATAAACAAGTCCAAGAACCTGGATCTTACCCAGGATAGAGTCTTAACACAATGTTAAAATAATTATGTGTCTAAAACACATTATCTAGTAGTTCTGAGCGCACATCCAGTAGTACACTCACTATTCTTCCCCATAGCATGCTCTTTACTCACTAAAAAAAAAAAATAAAAAAAAATATACACTTAATAGTATGAAGGGAAAATACATTTTACATAAGTCTAATAAAGAAGATATTTATTTTTTCATGATTAGAAGTTCAAAATATAACTTAATCTGCTTTTCCCAGAATGACTTGGCTTGACCACTCAATGGTGAGTGACAGTTATTGATACGGAAGGACAGAATGCTAGCCAAGTAATTTCAAATCTTTTCTTATATTTGCAGTTATCTCTAATATTTTATTCTTCTTGTTTTTAAATATTTTAATATTTTAAAGAAGATAGACACACACACACACACACACACACACATTTGGGTAAGAATTACTTGGTGATATTAACAAAGAATTAAGGCCCATTAATCCACTCAGCCACACAGGGTCATAGAAATAACAGGTTTTAATTTTTACATTTTTTTATAAGGCGAGGGCTGGTAAGCATCTTTCAAAAACTTTTCAGTGTGGTTTAACTGGCGGATGTTTTCTTGAATACTTTCCTAAACTCCTTGATGATTAAACTTTTCAAAATATTGCCAAGAAAAGTGACTTAGTATTTTATGCTAATATTGCCCACCAGGTAGATACTAATACAACTGCAGTAGTAGTTAGGGAACAATACTAATGTGGTCCTTTAAGTTAAAAGTCAGTTTGCTTGAGAGTACACCTAATCTGGGCTAATGCAACACCTGTAAGTCTTCAATGATTATTTTCAAGGGTCAGTTTTAGGGGCTTTATCTGTAAGACTCATTATTATGATTAGATTTTTTTCAAAAGATTTATTTATATGAGAGAGAGAGAAAGAGCATACAAGTGGAGGGGGACAGAGGGAGAGAAAATCTGAAGCAGACTCTAGGCTGAGCATGGAGCCCGCTGCAGGGCTCGATCTCACAACCCTGAGATCACGACCTGAGCCGAAACCAAGTTGGATGCTTAACTGACCCCCATGGTAGATACTTTTGAGGGTAATGGTGGGAAGGAAAGGATGGTTAGCCATCCAGTTGAAAGCGCTAAGACGTAAAATATCAAAATCAACAATGTGATAAATGTGGTCTGGCCTTCAGGAAGGTGTACAATGGAAAATTGTCTTAAACCAGACAATCGATTCAACATTCTTCTAGATGAAATATGATAAAAAAAAATAAGGGTTGGCTGAGAGGGAAAAGAGGGAAAGCAGTGTCACAAAAAGCTGACAAGGAATGTGAGGATGATGGAGGCAAAAAGGGGCTAGAGTCAGTGCCTAGAGGCTTGTCCTAGACCTCTGTGCAAAAGGTAGGAGGAGGGCCTCAGGTTTGTTTCCTTTGAAGAATAGAGATGGGGCTAATTTTATAAGGAGTGTTTTAAGTGACCACCACATCATGCTTTCTTGCTCTGCTTCATGCACAGTGATGGGAACATCAAGTCTTCAGAATGATGACGTTCTAACAGAAAGAATGATCCATGGTAAAACATTCAGATGTACTCTGACAGTCATGCAACAATTCATACACGCTGCATTACACATGGTGAAATGATCTGCAAACAGATATCAAGCAGGCTAATTATGTGCTTTGTAAAAATAAATTTCTCAAATTTTTCAACAAGGATTTTGCAAAAAACCTTGGACAATTAAGTTGGAAAATGTGGTTTTCTTTTCTTTTTCTTGTTTTTTTTATAGACATATTATTTAGAATTATGATCAAATCTTCTAAAACCATTTGAAGAGTTGTTGGCTCATCTCTAGATTAAAAACAAACTGAAATAAATTAGATTTTATGTTGAAAAAAGTAATCCAGTTCAACAACCTATGTGCCAAGTTTCCCTCATATAATTGGAAACAGTCAAGCAATAAACTCTGAAAAAGGAATTTCTAATGGAAGCCTTGAAAACACTTGACTCCGGCTTTGCTACTGGGTGCCATAATAAATCCAGAAACTTAAAACCTCAGATACACTGGAGAAGGAAAAACTTTCAGTGGAGCTATGTAATGTATAGTCTAATATGAAATCTTGAGAAGCAAAAATCTTTCCTCCAGTATAAGTTTCTTACACTTAATTCCCCAGGCATACAACTCTCTCTCACACTATCCCTCCCAGCCCCCGTCGCCATTTCATTCTTTGTTCCAGTAGAAATTATGAATGCTAAAGAAAGCCTCTTGATTTTATGAGACAAAAATGTTATAATGTAGTATTTAACACCATTTAGAAGAGAAGGCAAGGCTATAGAATACAGAAGCTAGGCTATGAGATTCTGGAAAATAGTTGAGTAAAATACTTATGACAGAATGGAGAGGCTCTCTTTGAGTCACAGTTTTAGGCTGACTAAATTTGGGGGATAAGGTTGAAAACAACCTTAGGTTTAAAACACTTCTACAAAAGAGGAACTCTTTTACACTGCTGGTGGGAATGCAAGTTGGTGCAGCCACTTTGGATAATAGTGTCGAGGCTCTTCAAAAAATTAAAAATCGAGCTACTCTATGACCCTGCAATGGCACTACTGGGCATTTATCCCAAAGATATAGGTGTAGTGAAAAGAAGCACCATATGTACCCCAACGTTCATAGCAGCAATGTCCATAATCACCAAACTGTGGAAAGAGCCGAGATGCCCTTCAACAGATGAATGGATAAAGAAGATGTAGTCCATATTCCAAATGGAATATTACGCAGCCATCAGAAAGGATGAATACCCAAATTTTGTATCAGCATGGACGGGACTGGAGGAGATTATGCTGAGTGAAATAAGTCAAGCAGAGAATACCAACTCTTGTATGGTTTCACTTATTTGTGGAGCATAAAGAATAACATGGAGGACATTAGGAGAAGGAAAGAAAAAGTGAATTGGGATAAATTGGAGGGGGAGACGAAAGATGAGAGACTGTGGGCTCTAAGAAACAAACTGAGGGGGGATGGGTGAGCCTGGTGGTGGGTGTTAAGGAGGGCACAAATTGCATGGAACATGGGTGTGGTGCATAAACAATAAATCTTGGAACACTGAAAAAATATAATAAAATTAAGATGTCAAAACAAACAAACAAACCAACCCTACAGTATTTTTTTTTTTTTAAACAGTGGCAGACATTCTGTGTGCTGTTAAAAGAAATGTAGATCATTTATAGCTTTGACCAGGGGTACACAGATAATAGTCACTAGCAAGGTAATACTACTGAATATTACAGAAGGTTGCTAGTAAATTAAATGGAATAAGTCTCACTAAGAGAGCTGAGGCAAATTTATTTGAAAGGTAATGATTTTTGCTCAAAATTGCTACCTGAGTTCATAGGTGAAAACGATGCTCCCCGACTTGAGATCGCATAAAGAAAAAAATTTATGTCTGTATGTTTATTTGTCTGTGGATCATACCTTGCTTGTGGTGGTGGGTCAAAACAGAATCAGAGCTCAATATTTTCTTACACTCAACACCCACAAGGAATAGAGAGATACAGTTTTGTCAAGCACTCTATATGCATATAATCACTCTCTTATGAAAATGGAGGGAGCACTCCCAAGGACTACTTGGAGACAGGAAGAACTGAAATCCTGGCTGATTTTCTAAAAAGGATCATTTTAAAGGTCAAGTTTAATGGATTCCAACTAATAGTGGGAATCTGAGAATTACATTCAATATATCAAAAAGTCTAACGGGAAATGTAGGTTTACTAGCAATTAAGTTGCAAAAGTGAAAGTTTTGTTTTGTCTTTATTTTTTGATAAAATTATACCAAGTCAGTTCAATGACACAGGTTACTTCACAATTATCAGAAGCAATGTTTGGCATAATATAGGTCTTT